CTTCAGCATTAAAAATGTTAAGTCCTAGGTATTAGGAAGCTCTTGTTGAGGATCCTTTGGTTATTCTTATGGTGACTCTTACCTTCTGATAACCCCCTTCCCTCTCCTCTATGAACTCATAAGGAAGTATGTTCTCAGAAGCTAGTCACAGCCCTCTCAACAGATTGTGTTATATGCATGGAGGCTCACTGCCCATTCTACTTGCATGTCTTCATTCAAAGAGTGGAAAAAGTGTTTACTGGCCAGTATGATAAACTTCTGCAAAAGTTAATGGGATGGAACCTGTAAAATTACTTGTTTAATTGTTAGACCCTTTGATTGATACTTTTTGTTGTTTTTAGGAGTTGACTACAGGCAAATTTATTCATTAGTAAAAGTTTAATCTTTAGCTGTTTGTCTTCTAATTCCACCTTCTCTTCTCCATCTTCCATCACTCCCTGCTGTCAACACCAAGTTCCAGGGCTCTTAATCTCTGCCTGTGAAGTCTTTCTAAATTAGGCATTAGGGATTTAACTCTTCCAGTAACATTTAACTTTCAGAAGAGGCAAACACTAAAAAGACAGTGATTAACTGAAAGCATGAATTTTGCTGAATTTGAGGCATCATTGGAAAAGTCAGGAGGAATTACAGTACCAGTTAAAAAGCACGGACAGGCTGCTTCCTTACTCAGCCAAAGGGTAAAACCTCTGTACATGTGCACCACTGAGGAAAGGGGAGTAATTGAGACTCCAAATGTAAGTAGTGTGAAATAGCCAGAGAAGGCAATAGAGGAAGGGAGAGAAAGTGGACCCTTAGGAGTCAAAACTCTTAAATTCAATAACGTTTCCTCTTGTTTGTGTAATTATAATTGTTAATTCAACTATACCTATTCCTTTGTGCAGGACACAGTGATGGACCCATGATTGACTATTAATTGTGTGGTTTTGTCCTTTTCATCAGTAGAAATTTTAATACTGGCATGTTAAATGTTGTGCTGTAAGTTATTCCTGGTACGGACTTTCAAATATAAGTGGAACTTTATTATCTTATAATTTCTAAATTATTACCCCCTAGTCTTAATATGAAATGACTGTGTATGGTAAATTAGAACTTCAAATCCTTAAAAACAAAGACAAAGGAGAAAAGCTCTCCATAAAGCTTCTTGCACTTTGGTTACTACCCAGTTCCTTTACTTGGTAATGATAGTGCAGACAAATAAAATCCGGCTGTATTGTTTGTGCCTATACATCTAGAATAACAGATCTTGAATAGGAGAGAAGGATTAGTCCATGGAGAGTTGAGTGGATAAGAACTAGAGTATTAATAGTTGGAGAAGTCTAAATCATATTTTTCACTTATGATGTGAAGCATTTACTTTGTTTGCTTTTTGCTGATTATAAATTAAATGAAAGGGAGGGATTCAATTTACTTACTCCTCAGGCAGGAAAAGTGTCCAAAAGAACATGTTAATATGAGCTCTTCAGTGAGACTAAATTACTTGAGGACATGATAATAGCAATAAATATTTGTTATTTACTTCGAATATGTTCTAGTACTTCATATACTTTATTCTTGCTTAATATGCCCCCAAGCCCTTTGATGTAGATTCTGTTATTATGACTATTTTGCAAATGTTGAAGCTGAGCCTAGAAGGGTTAATTGACTTGCCCAAGGCCAGTGCTAATAGGTAATGGAACTAGGATTGGAAATCATGCCTGTCTGACTTCACAGACCCAACTCTTCACCACTGAGCTTTCTGCTTCCCTTTTATATCATTACATCCCAGAGATTTCCCAAAACAATGCCTTGCACACGATAAGAACCAAAAAATATTTGTTGAAATGATACTTCACTGGTTGAAAAAATTCAATCTGAACAATTTTGTGGAAATTGAAACTGTTAAACTAAGCACTTTTAGTGGTTTCACAGCAAATGACAATCTAACCATTACTTTGAGTATGATATAGTGAAAGTTTAAGCTTGAAGACAGTCCACTAAAAAGCAAAGATTAAGTGCACCAAATTTGATTATTCTGGAATCATTCAGTATTTTGTGTAGTCAGATAGGTTTGTGTCTCTAACGTAAAAAAGAACTAAGAGATTATAGAATGATGGCCTTGTCTCAGTTTGCCTTAGTGAACTTCAAATTTTCATCATAAAATATTAGGCTTAAATACCTAGAAAAAATACTAGGAGATTAAAAAAAAGTATTTATAAAGATGCATGGGTGAAAATCTGCACATTTAGATTTAAGAGAAATACTTCTTTATAAAGTTATGTTATTTGCATTTTTAAACAAAATCTGTTGTTTCTTTTAACTATAGCAGAGACTAAAGCCATTTTTAGACAAAGCATTATGATTAGAATTACTTATATTTTGGATTTACTGTTCAATATGTGATGTTGAGAAAGAGCTGGACTTTGAAGTCAGGTGGACCCAGGTGCAAATGTTCTCCAGCCTGCTGACTTGGTGACTGTGAGCAGACAACTCCAATTTCTTTATCTAAGTTGAGCCAATGGTGTTTATTTCACATAAATGAGATTACTTTTCAATAAAAAATACATAAATATATATGTGTGTCTATACATATATATATATATATATATATACAGAAAAAGAAAGAACTGACTATACTTCAATAAAAATATATATACAAAAAAAGAGATTACTTGTGCAAAGCACTTGGTATAGTACATACTCAGCAAAAAAGTATAAGGCCTTATTCATGTTTTGAGAGCTATTCTTTAAAAAAAAAAAGGACTCAAATGAAATTTCAACTCTTTCCTGGTAAAATAAAGTATAATTCAGCTATTAGGGCGCAAACATTTTTTTTCTGGAGGTCTGAAGTATTCTGCTCATTGATGTGTGTTGAGTATAGAAGAATGCTCAGTTTGTACAGTTCCACTGATTTGTGTTCTTAGGACCTGTGCATGTACTAAAATTTTTAAAAAATATGTATTGCCAATAATAAGGTAGCATGTGAAAGTAGATTTATATGTAATGTTCTTATATCGTCAAGGCAGATCTTAGAGGTGTTAAATAGGATGACTCTGTGATTAGTTTTTAAAATTACACTGATGTTTCTAGGTTAAAAACTGATAAATATTAAATCTACAACTTCCGAAGAAAAGGCGTCGAGTGTATATGTATCTTTAAAAGTTAGTAGAAAGAAAGTTAACATAGGTAGAATAAGAAATTAAATGAGGTCTTTTGGAGAGACTACAAAAAGTTGATAAATACAAACCCAAATATATCAATTATTTATATTACTATAAATAGACTGCACCTTTTAAAGTCAAACATTTCTGACTATATTCATTGTTTTTTTTTCAAGAAATAGAGCCAAACTATAAGATTTAAATTAGTAATGTAAAACATATATTTTATGGAATTATGTACTTTTCAGCAATGATACAAGCAGCATGATTCTGTGTATTAGACAACATACACTTAAAAATTTGTCATTATGTTATTAGTATTTTTAAAGTTTTTAACATTTTCCCAACTTATTGATTGAGGGATAACAAACATGATTGATTTTATATGTATGTATACGTACATTTGTACCCACAGATACACATACACAAAGATAGATGTGCACACACATACACACATTTTTTTCTTCTTTCTTTGTGATCTAATATATGGCAAATATTTAAGTTTCTGATGTGAGTTACAAATATGGGCTTCTCTTTGTGGCACAAGATTTTATATATATATTATATATTGTATATGTAATATATAATATAATTACGATATCATAATACTATAATATATAATATATATAATCATGTAAAAATCTTTAATTTTTCAAATTGCTGATTTCTTAATGTGTTATATCAGCTTCCTAATGTAAATAGAGAAACCTGCATTAAAATCTTTCTCACAATTGAGGAAGTATATATTTTTAAGCATAGTTTTAAAAAAACCAAGATATGTGAAACACAGTTAAAGCACTTCATCAACTTAGGGTAAAGAAACCTCAAACAGTTGCTTTACCGTGCAGAGCTGGGGAGCTGGTCAGCCTAGGTTCAAAGCCCAGTTCATCTCATACCAGCTGTGATGCTGTGGACAAGATTCTTCACCTTTCTGGGTCTTGATTTTCTTTCTGTTAAAGTGGGAATAATGACAGAATTTATCCCTTAGGGTAGCTGTGAGAATAAGTGAAATAATACTTGGCAAATATTAAATACCCAAGTAAATTTTAGCTGTACAGTAGTAGTAGTAGTAGTAGTAAGTACACAACTCTAAGTATATAAATGTATAAATGAATGGTTTTAGAAAATCTTACTATTGTGTCTCACAGTTACTTTTCGTAGAGAAGATAGGAGAAAATAATATTTGCATTGCAATTGTTTAAAACTCTTAAAATGCAAATGCCATGACCATTGTTTTAACTGGACTGTGCAGGCCTTGGGTAGGTTGTGGCCCACTTGGGGCTTGGGAGCTGCTTTTAGTGTTCTGTCGTGCTGGGGTCCTAGAGATGAAGAATGTAACAACCAGCTCCAGGAATTCTTGTGTGGTACTTAAGTCTCATCAGATGAAGGAGGCGTTAGTGCTTGGTGCTGGTATTAGGCACCATTATCAGAGTGAATAAATCAAATGCTTTCTAACAATAAACCTAGGGTGGTAACAGATAGTCTTTTTAAAATGACTAATAGCTTTTATGCCAAAGAAGTTTGGTAGTGTCTAACTCAGAATATCGATTTGACAGAAGAGGAAGGTGTAATTTTTCTGCAGCTATGACTGGGTTGTTAGTCTGTTGACACAGGAATTAGTTTGAAAAACAGTCATCGCTACCACTAAGTATTTTTTTAGAAAGTCACCTTCCAAATAGTTACCCTCCATATAATCTAATATCCTGTCTCCCTTGCCCCACCTGTGGTGTTCACAGTAGCATCTTCTCACTGTTGAATTTTTTCATCTCATTCAGCCTTTCTACTCTTCAAATTCCGTAGTTCATGAATCATTTGATATCTACTGGGAAGAAATATAGAACAAATAAATCTGTTCTTTTCCAGGCCAAAGCCTACCGAAGAATTGCTACTGAAGTGGTAGGAAGATTGCCACCACCTCCGGAGTGATTCCCCAGGTGCCCTGGAAATTTGCCTGATGCTTGACGTTGAGACCTTTGGAAATCAGCCGTGTGGTGGTGAAACTTGTGGAAAAGAAAAAAGCAATCATAGTTGTTTTCTTGTATTTCTAAAGAAATAATGTCTTATTTTCAGATTTGACTTGCTAAGCAGTGACTCACAAATAAAATTTTTACATACCAATGCTTACTGCTGCATTTAGAAATTTGTTTTGAAAGCTAATGTGTACCAGTGTCGCAGAACTGCATTTGATTTTATTGAAATACTGCATAAAGAATCATGAGTTTATATTACAAGTCCAACCTTCAGTTCAGGAGAGAACTGTGCTATTTTTGCAGGACTACAGAGTTAGTCATTTAAAGGATTTCCTAAATGTGTGTATGGACATAAGGGTGACACCTCTTCATCAGGCAGTTTGGTCTGGGTTTGAATCCCGCCTCTAGTAGTATCTTGGACACATTCTTTATAGAGATAAACCTCTACTTCATCTGGCCTAGACCCTACCCTAGACTTAATAAATCTGAATCTCCAGGGGTGAGGTCTGGGCATGTGTATTTTTAACAGGACCATAATGATGTTTAACAAGATCATTATGATTTTTAAGAAGATCATAATAATATTGCCATCTGATTATGATGGTAATAATAATAATAACAATTATAGCCAACATTTATAAAGTATTTTCTTGTGTCCTTATAGTTACTCTTCCATTTGTGTGACTGGGATACTGTTATTATCTCCACTGTACAAATAGGGGCTGAAATATGGGGAAGTTAAGTGTCTTCCTGAGGGTTACTGTTGTAGCAGGAGGACTAAGGTTTGAACTTGGGCATTTGGATACTGGATCTTTCCTTTTGTGCACCAAAGGGCATTTATTTCAAAAGAAGAATATGAATATAGTATTCAGCATTTCCTGAAACTTACTCAACCGTGACTTCCCCCACGTCCCCTTTAGGAGCATCTCATAGATTTTATATTTCAAAGAATACACCTTGAAAAACAAATATCTTGGCTAGTTGAGACTCAGAGAGAAAATGGTTAAAATAAAGATAATAGGTAAAAAAAATACCTATTGTCTTATTTTTGATCATTCTAAAAGACAATTGACTGCCTACTATTACCACTACCACTAACATTTTAAAAAATAAGGTTAAATAATAAACTTGTAGTAGAGGTAAAATGGAATTATAAATACATAATCCAAAAGCAAGCAGAAATAGAAGTATAAAAGGAACAAAGAACAAATAGAACAAATTGAAAACTGCTAGGAAGGTGCAGATTTTAATCCAAACATATTGATAATTACAGTGACTATTAATGTTCAAAATAATACTAATTATTAAATAATTAGTGGATAAAAAGACAAGACCCAACTGTATACAGTCTTAAAAAAGTTCATTCTAAACATAAAGACACAAATAGGTTAAAAGAGGAAGAAGAGATATGTGTGTGAAAATTAATCAAAATAAAGGTGGAGTGGCTAGTATTATCAGGTACCGTAGACTTCAGTGCAAAGAATATTACCAGGAATGAAGAAGGACATTACATAATGATAAAAGTGTTAAGTAGCCAAGAAGATGTAACAATCCTAAGTGTGTATCCACCTAACAAAATAGCTTTGATGTATTTAAAAGTAAAAGTAAAAACTGATAGAACTGAAAGTAAAAACAGACAAATCCATGATTACAGTTGGGAGATTTTAATACTCCTCTCTCAGTAATCAGTGGAACAGGACAATTAGTAAGTATTAGAAAAACTGATCAATACTATTTTATCAACATTTTTATAGACCACTTCACCCCGAAACAATACAATGCGTATTATTTTCAAGTGCAACATAGAACATTCACCAAGGTTTACCTTATTCAGGGCCATAAGACATACATCAACATGTTTATAAAATAACTGAAATCATGTGAAATATGTTCTCTTGCCATAACAGAAGTAAGGAATGCAATAACAAAAAGATATCTGAAAATTCCTCAAATTTGACAATAAAACAGTTCTAAGTTACCCACACATTAAAGAAGAAAGAACAAGAGAAATTATAAAATACTTTTAAGAAAACAAAACAAAAAAATTTATGGGATGCAGCCAAAGTAGTGCTTACAGGGAAATTTACTGCATTAAATGCTTATAGTAGAAAAGACGAAACCTAGTATAATCAAATAATCTTTCACGTTAAAAGCCTACAGATAGAAGAGCAAATTTGAAGATAGCAAATGGAAGAAAGAAGTCATTGAATCAAAAAGGAAAGCGGTAGAGAAAATCAGTGAAATCAAAAGCTGGTGTTCTGAAAAGGTGAACAAACTTGACAAACCTCTAGCAGACTTATAAGGAAAAGAGAGAAAGAAAGTTTAAAGTATCAATATTATGATTGAAAAGAGCTGACATCAGTAAGATTCAAAAGACATCAAAAGTACAACAGGGACTATTACAAAGAACTTTATGCCCTGAAAATTGACAACTTAGATGAAATAGACAAATTCTTTGAAAAACACTAACTACAAAAGCTCTCTCAAAAAGAGATAATCTCCATGTCATAAATCTCTGGAGGAAATTTAATTTGTAGATATGAATGGACAAAGTAAACTCCAACCTCAGATGCCATCCATTACTGGCAAAATCTACCCAACATTTAAAGAGGAAATAATGCCAGTTCTACACAGACTCTTCCAGAAAATAGAATAGGAGGGAGCACTTCCCAACTTACTTTTTGAAGCCAGCATTATCTTGATACCCAAACTAATCAAAGACAGTATAAGAAAACTACAAATATTCCTCATCAACATAGATACAAAAATCCCCAGAAAAATATTACTCAATTGACTCCAGCATTATATAAAAAGGATAATGCATTGTAACCAAGAGGTCATTATCCTGGGAATGCAAGGTTGGCTCAACATTTGAAAATCAATCAATGTAAACAGCAGATTAAAAAAAAAAAACAGACTAAAGAAGGACAGACCAAGGAAGAAAAACTATGTTTATCTTAATAGATGCAGAAAAAGCATGTGACAACAATTTGACTTTTGTATAAAATTTCTCAGCAAACTAGAAATGAAAGACAACTTTTTCACCTTGATAAAAGACATCTACAAAAAATTTGCAGTTAACATCTTAAATAATGGTGAAAGACTGCTTTCCTCTGAAGATTGGGAACAAGGCAAGTTTCTCAAGGCTCACCACTTTCATTCAATATTATGCTGGAAGTATATCAGTGCAATAGAAAAAGAAATAAAAAGCATACAGGTTGGAAGGGAAGAAATAAAACTGTTCATAGGCAATGTGAATGTCTATGGAGAAAATCCCCCCAAATATACAAAAAGTAACTAGAACTAATGAGTGAATTTAGCAGAATTATAGTATGTGCAGTCAATATACAAAAATGAATTTTATTTTTATGTACTAGCAATGAATGATTGGAATTTGAAATGAAAATAGCACAATTTTATAATAGCACAAAATATGATATTTAAATATAAATCTAATGTGCCAGGTCTGTTATGGAGACATAATACAAAATACTGTGAATATGTAGTGAAAGATATCAAATAAAACTTATATAAATGGTGAAAATATCATGTTTATTGTTTGGAAGACTCAATATTAATAAGATACCTATTCTCCTCAAATTGATCTATATCCAATACAGTCCCAGTCAAAATCCCGAGACTTTTGTTGAAATTGACAACTTGATTCTAAAATTTATATGGAAATAAAGATGGTCTAGGATAACCAAAACTGTTTCCAAAAAATAAAGTTAAAGTCAGAGGACTTACACTACTTGATTTCAAGACTATGGCAATCAAGAGAGTGTGGTATTGGTATAAGATGGACATACAGATCTATGGACTAGAATAGAACATTCAGGAATAGATACATACAGGTATGATAAGTTGATTTTCAACGAAGGTACCAAGGCAATTCAATGAGTAATAGATCATCTTTTCAGCAGTTGTGCTCAATTAGACATATTTCTGCAAAGAAATGAACCTTGCCTTCTATCTTACACATCTACAAAAATTAAATCAAAATGGATCATATACATAAATGCAAAACATAAAACCATGAAACTTCTAAAAAAGAAACAAGAGAAAATCTTCCTGATCTTGAGTTAGGCCAAGATTTCTTAGATACAGCACAGAACGTCATTATTAAACTGTAAAAGAAAAAGAAGCTGCTAAATTGTACTTCATGAGAATAAAAACAGCTGTTTGACAAACACAGTTAAGAAAATTAAAAGGAAATTTACAGACTGGGAGAAAACATTTGTTAAACAAATCTGACAAAGAACTTGTATTTAAACTATATGAAGGGCTCTTACAACCCATTAAAAAGAAGACAAAAACCTCAGTTTTAAAATGAAGGAATAACGTGAGTAGAGTCTTCACCAATGAAGAGATATCACTGAAAAATAACATGAAAAGTAATCAACATCTTTAGTCATTAAGGAAATGCAAACAAAACAAACAACAAAAAAGCCCCACAATAAGATACCACTACACGGCTACGAAAATGGCTACAGTGAAAAAGATTGGCCACACCAAGTGTTGATGATGTGGGTCCCCTGGCACTCTCATAGGCTGCTGATAGGAATGTAAAACAGTACATTGCATTTGGAAAACAGTCTGGCACACTCTCTAAAAGTTAAAGATGCACTTACCATACAATCTAACTATTCTGCTTCTAGATATTTACCCAAGAGAAACAAACATATATCCACATGAAGACTTATAAATATCCCTAGAAGCTTTGTTTACAATATCCAAAAGCTGGAAAAACTCAAATGTCCCCCAAAAGGTGAATGGATAAACCAAATTTGCTATATCTATACAATAGAATACTTCTGAAAATAATAAAATGGAATGAATTATTATTACAATAATCGGAATGAGTCTTGAAATAGTAATACTGAACAAAAGATGCAGATGAAAAAGAATACAACCTGTATAATCCTATGTACATACACTTCTAGAAAATGTATACCTTACATGACAAAGTAGATCAGTGGTTACCTGGAGATGGGTACTGGGAAAGAAAGACGGAGAGAGGAACGGATTAAGAAGGAA